GAACATGCTGATAGGAATTGAGCAGAGTAACAGAAAGAAGAACTCATTACTGTGCGGTTTCTCCTTCAATGGTCAGTCACAGGCTAGAGGCAGGCCCTAAAAGCAGAGCTCCAGTCTCCAGAGAAAAAAAATAATTCCCTCAATCCAGCAGTGTGCTCACCCAAGCCAGGTTTGCAGGCCATCCTCTGTCTCAGACATCTTAAGTGTGGGCACCCAGCTGAGATAACTTGCGGCTTCATAGCTGGGTGCCCACTGTGAGTAGTGCTGCTCATGGTGAATGGCCCTGTACATGTCCCAGAAGACTGTGGGGGGGGGGACTTCTGCTTCCAATCGCTAAGGGGTCAGGGGGGACTAGTCCAATCGCCCACAGGTGTCAAAATGGCAGCCCTCCAGCTGTTGCCAAACTACAAGTCCCATGAGGCATTGCAAGACTGACAGTTACACGCATGATTCCCAAAGGTAGAAGCATGATGGGACTTGTAGTTTCGCAACAGCTGGAGGGCCGCCAGTTTGACATCCCTGGCCTAGGCGGTCGGAGTGGAAATGGTGCCCAACCCACAAAGGTGCTAATTCCTAATGGGGAGAGAGGGACGAGTCATTAAAGCAGAACTTCCCCCTTTGGGTGGAGCTCCACTTTAACAGCCTGGGCTCAGAGAGAGTGATGGAATGATGCTAGCTGTCATTCAATCTGGAAGACTGAGATAGTCTTGTGGCAGAAAAGAAGTACTGCAATTTCTGACTGAAAAAAGCAGGCAAAATATGTCTTTATTTTTTGATCTTTTATTGGGCTATTCATTGGTTTTTGTGAATGGAGTCCTGCTTAAAACATTCATTCTTACAGATGCATAACTCAAAGCTGTACAAATCCCAGCAGTCAGCTATCTAAGGGCTTCACACTAGCTCCTCTGAAAAGTGATCTATGCTTGGATTACTTTTTGTAGGCATTTAACAGGTGGTGAGGAGGTGATATGTTGCCTCTTTCCTTCGTTAACCCCCTAAATGCCACAACACCGAGTTGCAGCTGTGTGCATTGCATGCAGTTGCAGAGCAGTTGCAGCGTGGCCCCATTCACTTGAACTGCTCGCCAAATGTGACAGGGAATCATTCCTGCCACATGGCAAAGCATTGCGACCATGCTGTGTGTACACCCCCAGCGGCTATGTGTACACCCCCAGCGGCTATGTGTACACCCCCGGCTGCTGCCTTCTCGGCTAAGAAGATGGTTGTATTAAATTTCACTGCTGATCCTTTGCTAAAACCTGTCTATTTATATGTGAAACCAAACCAAAGCTACCATTTACTATTCTAGTAAGAACCTCCACATGCCTGCACGCTAGATCTGATATCCTGCGAAGCACCCTGGGACCCCAAAAAACTGGGGTTCTTTGGTGTGCACACAGTGACCAGCACCCTAGGTCTGCTCCACTTTCCCCCGATTTTTTCAAATCTAACATAAGCAACCATAACCTGTTAATGTTTTGACTGCAAATCGTCGCTGTCCGACCCAAAGACACTTTGCCACATGAGAGAACGTAAAACGTATCAACAGTATAGTCAAAATACCACAAACGCCAAAGAGAAAAGTCAAACTATAGGGAAACCTTTTTTTTTCTTTTTGGATAGAGCAAGGGAGGGTTATAACCCCTGTCAGATTTTATGTTTTCGTCTGTTTCCCATTGTGGACATCTCCCTTCACTTCCTGTCCCATAGCCAAACAGGAAGTGAGAGGAAATCCCTGAAAATTAAGGGAATTCTTTAGGGACCCCCAGGTAATTAGAACTAGAATTGGAAGATTTCCCTTTTGTAACTTTTTCTGGTCACAACCCAAAATGTGGGATTTTCTTTTACTTTCACTTTTAACGATAATGGTAAACAAAACCAATAGAGAGGGCAAATCTCCCCAATGGGGGAGGGGCTCAGAGAGCAATAAAAGCCTGATAGGTGCTCTAATCCTTCTCCATTTTCTCCAAAACTAAAAAAAAAAAAAGTTTCCTTTAGCTATACTTTAAAGTTGAAGTTACAAACCCATAGATAAGTCTTATCTAATTAGTTCAGTGTAGCAGTTTTCAAAGCAACATGAGATAACCAACTGTGCAACTTTTCCAAGTGTGCTTTCCAGTTAGCCAGCAAAAAAAAAACCTGAATTACAATATGCATTTAAAACAGATGTTTTAGTTGAAAAGCATTGGTCTTAAAGCAGGGTGCGGAGGGCCTTCTCCCTGTTGGAACACAATAGGGGAGATTGCCATACTAACATCAGATATGTTAGTACGTGACCTGTACGTTTTTTCTTCATTCGGTCCCAGAGGTGGGGGATTGAACAGAAAAAAAAAAAACTTCCTGTATGTACCCAGCATAATTCAAGTCAGGGCCAGATCTAGCCTGTCTAATGTGGGGGTGCAGTAAAAAAAAAAAAAAAACATCAGGGGAGTCAGAGCATGCAAAGGCAGCAGGACATTGTATATGTATAGAAGTCAGTAGGGCAGTGTGCAGGGGGGCCAGCAGGGCAGAGTGATAGGGAAAGCAGTTTGTAGTGTAAAATGAAATAAAAAACAAGAAGCGCACCAGCCTTGCGCATTACCTCAGCGACCAAAAATTTTATTACTTGTAAAAAACATACTCACAAACAGCGAATAAAATCAGGCATGTAAGTCCTCTCAGGGACTTGAAGATAACATGAGTCCCATCAGGGGAATGGGTGTTCAGTACAGCTGACGCGTTTCGAAGGGAGTCCCTTCTTCCTCAGAGCTCTGAGGAAACGCGTCAGCTGTACTGAACACCCATTTTCCCCTGATGGACTCATGTTATCTTCAAGTCCCTGAAGAGGACTTACATGCCTGATTTTATTCGCTGTTTGTGAGTATGTTTTTTACAAGTAATAAATTTTGGTCGCTGAGGTAATGCGCAAGGCTGGTGCGCTTCTTGTTTTTTATTTCATTTACAGTGCTGATTGGGGCTTCCCCACCTTGGTTTGGAGCTGCACAGCCCTTTATGCAGTGGTGTTCGTTCTCCCCAGGCCTGGTTTCCATCTTGTGCCACCTGTCCTGAGTCTTGGAGCGCAGGAGAATTCTTTTCGATTTCCAAAGCAGTTTGTAGGGCAGAGTACAGAGGCCATTAGTGTGTAGGGCAGGTTATCAAGGCAGTATTATACAGGGGTTAGCAGGGCATGTACAAGGGGTCCACAGGACATAGGGTGAGAGGTCAGCAGGGACGTGTACAAGAGTGTCAGTAGGGCGGTGTAGAGGCGTCAGTAGGGCACAAAATAGGGGTCAGCAGGGCAGAGCGACAGGAATCAGCAGGGAAGTGGTATGAGAGTCAGTGGGGCAGTGTCAGGAATGGACTGGCCAGCTATGGTGGGACTCACCTGCCTTTTGATCTGCAGTACTAGGGCTGGCCAGCGGGTGTTCCCCAGCAATCAGAGACTCAACTTTGCAGCCAGCTAACACCTGTAACTGATATATGCTGGGGTATTTAAGGGATGGCCAGACCCACAGACTCTGCCTTGTGTGTGTGTTTGTCCTGGGCCCTGTATCCCTGTTTCTGTCTTGTATCCTGTTTCTGGAACCCGCTGCTGACTTCTCCTGCTCTGATCCCGGCTCGCTCCTGACCATCCCTCTGTCTGACCCTCATGTACCACGCTGCTTGCTACCTGTTCTGATCCCTGGCTTGTGACCCTGACCAATCTCCGCTTGCTCCCCCTGTACCTACCTGCCCTATTGATATTGACCCGCCTGCCTGACGACGCTTGCTTGTATGTACTGTTATCTGTGGTGGTTTGGTTTGGTTGTTTGCACTGTATTATGTTTTAGTATTGCACTGCGTTTATGTTTGTATTGTTTAGTGTTAATAATTATATTGTTTATAACAATATCCTGAGGTCTGCGTTTTCCCTGCGTCAGTCACACATCTTTGGTCACACCTGGGAGCCCTGACATTACACCAAGGCCAATCCTGACCAGAAGTTGGCTGCACAGGAAGCCATCTTGGCTTGTTGAGGGAGGGAAGGATGGATCTGGATGAGGTTGAGTATTTATCTCTGCTAATGCTTGATGAACAGAGAGTATGCTTATCAGGCTCTGAAGGAGTATCTCCCCGGGATGAACTGCTAGAATGTAATACGGCTCGCATCATGTTCTAGTAGTGTCAGGCACAGATTTCTCTATGGTGCAGCCATTGATTCAGGTTTGTGTTGAGTTGGTTTCCATCATGGTTCCCCCGAATGCAGGAGTGAATTTTTGCCACCATTTAGTGCAGACCAGTTTTGAGTCCCTGGTGTGGTTATTAGAGGATGATGTGGGTTTACTATTCTGGACCGCGATATTCCACATGTTCACCACAGACACTAAGAGATTGTATAAACGCAGTGCAGTCATTGACCAGACAGGCTTTTGTGTAAAGCTCAGCTTTGTTCAACCCCTACTGCAAGACATGGACAGACTTGTTGCACACCCAGCCTCAGTCAGCTTACAAAAACCCAGTCCTGCTTCTAACTCTACTCCGTGTTATTCCCACCAGCTCCTCCAGTTACAGCCCAGTATACTTGGCTATCTACCGCATGTCAGTACCCTGTTCCACTCAGCTGCACCTATCCTGCCTTTAACACCTGTAAAAAGCCCTCCTGTAGCAACTGCTCCCCTCTCCTGTTCCATCCTCCAGTTTTTCTCTGTCTCCAGCTGCTCCATTCGTTTTTGCAGACTAGACTGCGTTTACCTTGCAGTGCTCCAGTAAGTTAAAAACCAGAAAAATGCGAAAATTCTTTCTCCAACCAATACCATCCTGCCAGTATCCAAACCGTGTGAACCTGCCTTCCGTGACTCAGCCCTGAAGCCTCTATACTCAGCCGGATGCCTCTCCTCAGCAGGATGCATTTCCTCTCAGCCCGGAAGCCTCTCCTCAGCCTTGAAGCCTCTCCTCAGCCTGAAGCCTCCTCCTCAGCCTGAAGCCTCTCCTCAGTCAGCTGAAGCCTCTCCTCAGCCTGATGCCTCTCCTCAGCCTGATGCCTCTCCTCAGCCTGATGCCTCTCCTCAGCCTGAAGCCTCTCCTCAGCCTGATGCCTGCATGTCAGCCTGATGCCCTACTCAGCATGATGAAACTGATCCACAGCCCGACATTTTCCTATTAGGCCAGGTTGAACATCGATGCCCGCTGTTGATCCAGATGATCCGGTACCTGATCCAGTGCCCGCTGTCGTGCCAATTGACTCAGAAGCCCGCTGTCATACCTGGTGACCTCCGGTGCCCACTGCCTTGCCAGAATGACGCGGTGCCGCTGGCAAGACAAATGACCTGATGCCTGGTGACCCAGTGCCCGCCTGTCATACCTGGTGACCCGATGCCCGCTGTCGAGCCAGACAATCCGATACCTGATGACCCGGGAGCCCACTGTCTTGCCAGAACCACTCGGTGCCCGCAGTCTTTGCCAGACGACTCGTGCCCGCAGTCCTTGCCAGACGACTCGGATGCCCGCCAGTCTTGCCAGACGACGTCGGTGCCAGCTTTCATTCTTTGCCCAGGACGACTCGGTGCGTGCTGTTCCGCCAGTTTGACTCGATGCCCGCTTGTATCCGCCAGTTGACTCGTGTCCCCGCAGTCTTCCGCCAGACGACTCGGTGCCACTGTACGTGCCTGGTGACTCGGTGCCCGCCGCTTCGTGCTGGGGGCCCGAGACTCTGTTGCCCTGCCTGAGGGCCCCGAGACCTGTTGCTCCATCCAAGGGGGTCCGGCGCCCGCCGCTCCGCCTGAGGGCCCGAGACCTGAGCTCTGGCCTGGAGGGCCCGATGCCTGTTGCCCCGCCTGGGGCCCGATGCCTGGGGGGGCCCGATGCCATGTCTCCCCGCCTGGGGGTCCGATGCCTGTCCGCTCCGCCTGAGGCCCGAGACTGTAGTTCCGCCTGGGGGTCCAACGCCCTCCCGCTCCGCCTGGGGGGTCCGAGGCCTGTCGCCCCGCCTGGGGGTCCGAGGCCTGTCGCGCCCCGCCTGGGGGTTTCCGAGGCCTGTCGCCCCGCCTGGGGGTCCGATGCCTGTCGCCCCGCCTGGGGGTCCGATGCCTGTCGCCTCCCGCTGGGGGCCCGAGACCTGTAGTTCCGGCCTGGGGGTCCGGGCCGCCCGCCGCTCCGCCCGGGGGGGCCCGGTGCCCCGTCGCTCCGCCCGGGGCCCGGCGCCCGTCGCCCCGCCCGGGGGCCCGCTGCCTGCTGCTTCGCCTGGTAGCCCGATGTCCTCCTTGCCCGGGGTCCCTGCCCGATGTGCCTCTGCCCGGGTCCTTTGCCCGATGTGCCCTGCCCGGGGTCCTGCCGATGTGCCTCTGCCCGAGTCCCCTGCCCGATGTGCCTGCTCGGCCCGGAGTCCTGCCCGATGTGCCTCTGCCCAGGAGTCCTGCCGATGTCCTGCTGCCCGGAGTCCGGCCCGATGTGCCTCTGCCCAGAGTCCAGCCCGATGTGCCTCTGCCCGATGTCGCATCTGCCCGGACCTCCTCCAGCCCCGTGTGCCTCTGCCCGGAGTCCAGCCCGATGTGCCTCTGCCCTGCCCGAGTCCAGCCCGATGTGCCGCTGCCCGGAGTCCTGCCCGGTGTGCCAGTCTTTGATATCCAGCCCAGTTACCAGACCCGGGCGGTGGGAACATTTTTCCCAGCCTAGGACTGTTTTGGAGCGTCCTCGAGGCCGCTCCTTGATGGGGGGGGGTGGTCTGTCATGATGGACTGGCCAGGCTATGGTGGGACTCACACTGCCTTTTGATCTGCAGTACTTAGGGCTGGCCAGCGGTGTTCCCCAGCAATCAGAGACTCAACTATTGCAGCCAGCTAACACCTGTAACTGATTATGCTGGGGTGGTATTTAAGGGATGCCAGACCCACCAGACTCTGCCTTGGTGTGTGTTGTCCTGGGCCCTGTATCCTGTTTCTGTCCTGTATCCTGTTTCTGAACCACTGCTGACTTCTTCCTGCTCTGATCCCGGCTCGCTTCCTGACCATCCCTCTGTCTGACCCTCTGTACCACGCTGCTTGCTACCTGTTCTGATCCCTGGCTTGTGACCCTGAACCAATCTCCGCTTGCACACCCCTGTACCTACCTGCCCTATTGATATTGACCCGGCCTCCTGACACGCTTGCTTGTATGTACTGTTATCTGTGGTGTGGTTTGGTTTTTTGCACTGTATTTATGTTTTAGTATTGCACTTTTTTTTATGTTTGTATTGTTAGTGTTAATAAATTATATTGTTTATAACATATCTGAGGTCTGCGTTTCCCTGCTGCCAGTCACACATCTCTGGTCACACCTGGGAGCCCTGACAGGCAGTGTACATGGGTTTAGGTAGGGTACAGGCTAGGGGCCAGCAGGCCAAGAGGATGGTAGGTCAGCAGGGGAGTGTACAAGAGTCAGTAAGGCAGTATACAGGGGGGTTCAGTAGGGCAGAAGCTAGGGGTCAGCAGGGCAAAGGATAGGGTCAACAGACGAGATAACATGCGTCAGCAGGGTGGAGGGGGTTACCAGGGCAAAGACAGGGCAGTAAAAAGGGGCCAGCAGGTTGGGCAGAGAAAAGGAGGCAGCAGGACAGTGGTAAGAAGGGCATTGCATGGGGTCAGCAGGGCAGGGTACAGAAGGTCACCAGGTAGAGGACAGGGGTCAGAAGAGAAGAGGACAGGGTCAGAACTGCAACATAGCAGCCAGCTATACATTGCAAAGATTGAGGCTCTGTCTGAAAAGGAATTTGATCCCACCTATGTGCTGTGTGGGGAGGAAGAGATCTATTGACTGCCCTGTGTGTGGTGCCAGGGACAAGGTCATTTAGCTCCATGTGTGAGCATCCTGTCCTCAGCATAAAGCCCTCCTCCCTCCTCAAAAAAAAAAAAGACTAATCAGCACGCTCCCCCCCCAAGCATAACTCTCTGTCTGCAAGCTGAAATTCTCCCCAAACAAAGCAAAAATTCCCCACCTCCCAGTGAAAAACCCCCATCCCAGCACAAATATTTGCTCCCCAATCCCCATCTCCAATGCCCCCAATTCCCACCACTTAGCACAATTCTCCCTCACCCAAAAAAATCACCCCTCCATACACACATCCATAAGCACAAATCTCCCCAAAATTCTCCTTCTTAGCATAAATCCCCCCCTCCTAACGCAAACCCCCCCCCGTCCCCCCTCTCAACCCCCAATTTCCTTCACCACTCCTAGCACAAAATCCCCCCCTCTTCTAGCACAAATGCCGTTAATCCCCCTCCTAGCACAAATCACTCCCCAATCTCCCCTTCTAGCACAAATCTCCAACTGATAGCCCCTTCTAGCACAAACTCCCCCTCCCCAAACCTCAATCCCCCTCCCTATGATAAATTTGCCTAAATTCCTACTTCTAGCAACAACCCCCTGCCAAGGTACCCTTCCCAGCACAAATCCTTTCCCATTATCCCTGCCCCCCTCTTAGTCCAATCCTCCGCCCCCTCTTAGCCCAAATAGGCACAAAAACAAAATCTCCCCAAAGCCCCCTCCTGGCTCAAATCTTCCAATTGCTTCTCCTAGTAGAAATCCCCCCCCCCCCCAACCCTTATTACCTTTTCCAGCAAATAGCCCCCTCTCACCCCAAGCACAAATGACTGTTCTCTCCCCACACATTATGTGCAATTTTGCCTGTAAGATCCCCGACCGCTATCCTCCCAACTTACAGTCCACAGGTTCAGGCTGTGCTAACTGGGTAATGAAACTGTGTACAACCCGATGGGCAGAGCAATCCTGTGTCATCAGCTATGTGGAGCAGCACTGTTCTGACAGGAGAGGGAGCAGAGCACTGCACCCCACCTCCATGCTCTCTCGTCACTTTCTGGACTTAACTGCTCCAGGCTCCCTTTCCCTTGTCCGGGCTCTGAGTGTGCGGATGGGGGGGGGGGGGGCATAGGAGCTCAGCAGTCTGGGGGGGGGGGGGCACAACTGAAATCTGTGGGCCATGATTCAACTCTACAAAAGCTATGTGTTAGCAGACATTTACAATGGATAACTTGAGGGCAAGCATGCCTGGAGGCAGCCTGAACCAGGGGTAGGCAACCTTTTTAGTCTTGTATGCTGGAAAATGTTTTCACTTACTCTGTAAGAAACGAGTATTAGACCGGGCTGTTATTAGAAATCATGGGTACTTGTAAGGTCTACTTGATGAAGCCCCTCGACCTTACACCCCCATACATCTTAATATACCCCAATCTTTCTGAACAACTACCATTCCTTCCAACTTTAGAACTTGAGAAAAAGGAGGACCTCACAGAAACCAGGCTAAATTACACTGAGTAATAAAGTCTGAAACCTCAGTGACTGTGACCTAGACAGTCCTGCACCTACTCCCTCATAGCTGTATATGTGCAGTGTGAAATATAAGGCACTGCTGCCTGACTGCTAGTCCAGGGAGATCTGGCGATTTCACTATTGTGCTGCTCATTGTTCTCCTTGCTGGAGGCTCTGACATGAAGAAGCAAAGCCCTGCCTCTACCAAGATGGCCACCTCCATACAGAGACACAGTGCAGAACAAGGCATGGCAAGGAAAGATCAGCTGCAGGGAGACCCCAGGCAATACTTCTGACTTGTCCTTTACCATCTGTCTGCCTTTTTAAGGCACAGATTCCAGAGTTTGATTCCTTATTAACATGACAAAAAATATATCTGATGCAATTTTGTTTGAGAATATAGGAAGTGTAATACCACCAAGTTTAAATCAGGGAATGTTTTCAGAAGCTTTGCCTGTGCCTATATGAGGTCTATAGTCTGGGTACAGTATATGAGGTATATACAGTATGGTATATACTAATTTTCATGGTCAGCTTTAGTGTCACTGTCCAAGTAACAGGCAGACAAAAATTGTGTACAAATGTCCTTTATTTATACCATTGTATTCTGTCTCTTACTTCCCATTTTGCACACTTTATATAGTCATATTTTAAACATATTTACATTGCTAGTTCCATCAGAGCAATAAAATCAGTATTTATTATATGTACAAAATCCACAGTGAACATGTTTCTTTCATAGCTGAAAACCTGGAAAACCATGACATCATTGTGCAGCCGCTATTTCATTTCCTGGAGAAAGGGTCTGACCATACCTTCAACCCTGAAAAAAAATAAAAAGGGAAATGAACCATTATTTATCTTCTATCACCAACTATAAAAGTACTAAAACCTAGTACACATGATCAGAAAATTGTAAAAAAAATACCGCTTTCTAAGTGATTGTATGATAATGTGATTGTTAGTACACAGCTTTCGCCCAAAATTATTTGAAGGGATAAGCACGAAAATTTTTTTTGTACAATACCAGATCGTACGATTTTCATTTTATCAGCACAGTTTTCATCTGAATATACAATACAATATATCACTTATTAATTTTTATTCTGTCGTACAAGAATTTTCGAATCTTTAGTAACCTCTCCATTTTCGATATAAGACTAGCATACAAAAAAAAAAAAAAGGGATGATCATTCGTCCAATATTCTCATTGTGTGTACGGGGCTTGAGTCAATGTAGTGAGGGCATATACAATGAAGGACATAAATATTTGATCCCCTGCTGATTTTGAACTCACAAAGAAATGATCAGTCTAAAAATCGAATGCTAGGTGTATTGTAACACAGAGACAGAATAGCAACAAAAAAAATTCAAAAGAACTGCATGTCTAACAAATTATGCACTGATTTGCATGTTCATGAGGGAAATAAATATTTGATCCTC